TGCCTATATACATGATCATGCCTAGATATTCTCATAATTATGCTCAATTCTATCAATTGCTCAACATTAATTTGTTCACCCATCGTAGAATACTTATGCTCTTGAGAGAATCCACTAGTGAAACCTATGGCCCCCGGGTCTATTCTCATCATATCAATCTCCATTACTTTTATATTGTTTTGCTATTTACTTTGCCTTTACTTTTTACTTTGTATCTTTATATCAAAAATACCAACAATATTCTATCTATCAGATCTCACTCTCGTAAGTGACCGTGAAGGGCTTGACAACCCCTAATCGCGTTGGTTGCGAGTAGCTATCGCTTTGTGCAGGTACGAGGGACTTGAGCATGGGCTCCTACTGGATTGATACCTTGGTTCTCAAAAACTGAGGGAAATACTTACGCTACTCTGCTGCATCATCCCTTCCTCTTCGGGGAAAACCAACGCAAGCTCAAGACGTAGCAACAATGGATCAGTGATGGATAATTATGTCGGGAGCGATCAATCATGCAACAGTTATAACATAGGGTGATACAGAACTAGCTCTAGTTCATCAATGTAATGTAGGCATATATTCCGAGTACAGTCATACGTGCTTATGGAAAAGAACTTGCATGACATCTTTTGTCCTACCCTCCCGTGGCAGCGGGCTCCTATTGGAAACTAAGGGATATTAAAGCCTCCTTTTAATAGAGTACCGAACCAAAGCATTAACACATAGTGAATCCATGAACTCCTCAAACTACGGCCATCACTGATAAGTATCCCGATTATTGTCACTTCGGGGTTAAGAGATCAACACATAATAGGTGACTATAGACTTGCAAGATAGGATCAAGAACTCACATATATTCATGAAAACATAATAGGTTCAGATCTGAAATCATGGCACTCGGGCCCTAGTGATAAGCATTAAGAATAGCAAAGTCATAGCAACATCAATCTCAGAACATAGTGGATACTAGGGATCAAACCCTAACATAACTAACTTGATTACATGATAAATCTCATCCAACCCATCACCGTCCAGCAAGCCTACGATGGAATTACTCACGCATGGTGCTGAGCATCATGAAATTGGTGATGGAGGAAGGTTGATGATGACGATGGCGACGGATTCCCCTCTCCGGAGCCCCGAATGGACTTCAGATCAGCCCTCCCGAGAGAGTTTAGGGCTTGGCGGCGGCTCCGTATCGTAAAACGCGATGAATCCTTCCCTCTGGTTTTTTCTCCCCGAAAGTGAATATATGGAGTCAAGATGGACGTCGGTGGAGCATCAGGGGGCCCACGAGGCAGGGGGCGTGGCCAGGGGGGTAGGCGCGCCCCCACCCTCGTGGACAGGGTGTGGGCCCCCTGACATGGATTCTTTCACCAGTATTTTTTATATATTCCAAAAATAATCTCCGTTGATTTTTAGGTCATTCCGAGAACTTTTATTTCTGCACAAAAATAACACCATGGCAATTCTGCTGAAAACAACATCAGTCCGGGTTAGTTCCATTCAAATGATGCAAGTTAGAGTCCAAAACAAGGGCAAAAGTGTTTGGAAAAGTAGATACGACAGAGACGTATCAACCAGACATCTCTCTTTTTGTCTTTCTTCTTACCCTTCTTCTTAAATGTAGTATTCTGCTGGACAGCTTTCTTTCCCTTGAACTTAGGGAAAATTCTTCTGCACCACATTGGCGCTAGAAGAACCCTCTGCCCCTTTCACGTGTGAGTCCTTTGTTCTCGAGTTCTGCTCAACACTTAGATGACGAATGACATCCTCAATAGAGAATTCACGTCTCAAGTGCTTGAGAGAAGTAGCAAAGTTACTTCATCCAGGAGGGAGTTTCGCAATAATGCAAGCCGCAACAAACTTGTCCAGTAACTCACACTTCAGGAGTACTAGCTCCTTAGCAATGCATTGTATCTCATGGGTCTGATCCAATACAAAACGGTTATGAATCATTTTGTAATCATGGAACTGCTTCATAGCATACAACTCGCCTCCAACATCGGTTGCGCCGAACTTAGCTTGAAGCGCATCCCACAAATTCTTGGCAACACGCATATGGAGATATGTGTGCACAAGCTTGTCTCCGATCACAGTAAGAACGGCTCCCACAAAGATGGTGGTTGCCTTCCTAAACACATTCTCCTGTTCAGGAGCAATTGTTATCGTGGGAGACACACCACCAACCCAGAAGACGTTCATTGTTGTGAGCCACAAGGTGGTCCTCGTCTGCCAACGCTTAAAATGCGTTCCAGTAAACTTTTCCGGTTTCAGAGTAGGGGCGAAGCCATGAGTCGAAAAGTGCCTAAAATAAGGTTTTTGGATTGTTGAAAATATTAGCACTTTTTGACTAATTTAATCCATGAGTAAACAGTAAGCATGGCAAATACGGTATGCATCTCATACCGATACCTAAGCATATGCGCAGGCATAATACATAGAACCGAAACATCTATGAACAACATATATACGGCTAGGACATGAACGAGCAAATCGGGGATGAACGAGTCATACCCTCCAGTTGGCCAGGCCAACGCGGCGGTGGCAGCGGCAGCCTCGGCATCGACCGAGGCCTTCTTCTTTGCGGCGTTATCGTCAGCCATGGGGTCGATGCAGGGGAAGTAGTGGAAGCAGAGGTGGACGGAGACGAGGACGGATCGGGAGCAGTTGTATCGAAACGCTCTCCAAAAACCTTATTGCCGTTCTCCCGGGCAGGATCTCGAACGACAAGGTTCCGGAGGCACATGCTCTCTCGACCAACCATGCACGCGGTCATCAGGATGGGATCACCGGAAGCAGCATAGTGAGAGGAACAGTAGATGACGGCTAGGGTTGTGCGAGAGGGAGTGAGTGAACTGAGTTAGGGTTCACTGCACTGGCTAGCACCTTCTTATATAGGCCCTCGGGTAGATGCAGGCTCATGACCGAGTCCGCGAACAGCCCGGACAGTGGCACTTTCGTAAGTGACTCATTAATTAATTCGAGATTAATTAACCATTCCTTGCTCAGGCCCACGACCGAGTCCGGGAACAGCCCGAATAGTGGCGCTTCCGTAAGCGACTTGTTAATTAATCCGAGATTAATTAACTATTCCTGACCGGCAAAAGTAAGCTTCGGCTTGTTCCTGCAAACCGCGGCGGGCACGTGCGTCGTGACAAGGCGAGGCGGAGGAGGAGGAGGAGCGCGCATATACAGCTCCTATTCCCAAGCTCTCAATAGCAAGTGATGAAGCAACCCTTATAAAAAGGTCTTACTCTTCTTACTATAGCAGTATGGTACTAAAATTCTCACTTTTCATCACTTGCCATACACATACATGGGCCTTAGATTAACCAGGAATTTTTGTCTTATATGGATCTATGTCCATTCATAATCCAACACATTTGTCATCTGCCGTGAATGCATGCATGGTCATATCAAAATCTCACCTGAGAAGAAAGCGAGATCCAGGTCCTGCGTACACGTATGCATGCGCAGATAACTACACATGGAAATTAACTGGCACTGATGGCCCAAATCTCTATCTACATTATTATATTTTTTCATGGTAACGTATTATCATCTTAACGAAAACATTTTATCCTTTATCGACAGGCCTAACCTGTTGTTTAGCTTGAAAGAGAGAAGGAAACTGTTCAAACTATTCACGAGAAAAGGAAGGACATTTCCAGAAGACAGGTTTAAGTACTCTAAACATTGTGTCAAATCGGAAAACCCCGCGACGTGAGCTTTTCGTGGATAAAGTGAGCTTAGCTGCTAATCAAAAGGGGCATATGTGCTAATTAAACTAGGTTGTGATACATCCGGCTGTTAATTAGTAGCCCGGTTTTCTTCTCTCTTTCAACTCATTAAAAATATATTATTTAAATTCTTCGTCATTTTATTGGACTTCCTCTCAGTGATAGTGGAGGAGTTCTAGAAGATTAATAAATGTAACTTTCTCCACGTTGACAAGCTAAAGCTTGAGCGCTACCCGTCCTTGTCCAACTCCAACTAACTCATTTTATACTAACATGCCGTTTTGCATGCTGGATATAGTGTATATAGTAGCATGCATGCCCCCCTGCTAGTTAATTAGTACAAGTGATGTGTGTCTGCTAGTCAATTCTCCTCCAACAAGTAACCTCGTTCTTACTGAGAAGACCCCCCACACGCAAGAATTATCAAAGCTAGCTATATCTATTATTCAAGCAAACAATGTCAAATAATTTGAAGCTATATTAATTAGCTTTTGTATATGTATGAACGTAAAAATCGCAGGAAACATTCTCTTAGATAAAGCAAAAATATAAATTTCCCATTATATACACACCCTAATGTGAAATGGAAGACTGACAGTGTAGACTTTACCTTCTCTAGTTAGATAACTAAAACACAATAATAGTCTATATGATGCAATAATTAGACTACCGACCATGCATATGTATATAGCCATACTATTATTGTCGCAAAGTAATATCACATTGAAGAGTAATGCGGACTCACAAGACCAACATTGTGGGATTAAAATATAATCACAATCCAATCAAATGACGACCTGAGTTTATCTTCTTCACGCAAGAGAAAGTTCAACAAATTAACTAAACCTTGTGTCATTATGCAAGACTAAAGAAATAAAGACGATGAGTATATAGTCACACTCACACTTTCACACACATACTTTTGCTGTCTGGAATTCAACTTATGACATATATTCCCCATAAACAGGGAAACAACAAAGAAACTAATTAAACAAAAATGAACATTAATTGCTATGAGTATGTACATACATAAATGTTCTTCTGTTCTTTTTTCCCTGCATGTCTAAAAGTGTGAACTCGACCACC